GATGAGACTATTCTACGTGACTACGCGAGAATACGACGCAACTACGCCCTGCAGGCCAGAGGCTACGCGAGCAATCTTATAGGACCAGTTCCATCATATCCCTTACATACTTACAAAACAACGCTGCTAATGAACATGCCCCTCAATACCATGAACCCTGCGGAGGAGGGACGTTGCTGGGAGGCAGCGCTGTGTGCGAAACCCGCAAAGACCAACCTTACCGTGCAAGGTCCATGGGTTTGGGGTTCAGGATGTCGGGTTTAGGGGTCCAGAGTTTGTGGAATAGGTTGGCCCCTAAACCCTCTCTAAACCAGCCCCTAGACCCTGAACCCTAAACCCTAAACCCCTAAACCCCTAAACCCTGAACCAGTAGGCGGGCGGCGAGGTTGGCTGCCTCACGGGCAGAGGCGCCCACGAGGGCCTGGCAGTATCAGAGGGCTAGGATCGACTGTCAGCTTCAGTCAGAGGGGTTTAGGGGCTTAGAGTTTAGGGTCTAGGGCTGTAGTATATTGGGGTTATATAGGGATTATATAAGGATAATTCGAAAGAAAATGGAAACCACTTTTAGGGATTAGGTTTAAGGGGTAGGGTTGGGGTTCAGGGCTATGAGTCTTAGAGGCTTGGGATCTGGAGTTATGGCTTTAGGGTTGTAGGCTCGGCTTTAGGGGTTTAGGGTTTGGAGTTTCAGGAGTCAGGGCTTAGAGCCTAAGTGGGCGAATGGGGACTATGAGATGAGTACTTGGCCCTGTCCTATGGTCCTGGTGAAATTAAAAAGGGTTTCTAGAGGATTGGCTTTTAGAGAGTTTATAAAGTTTTACAGGAGGTTTGCGGAGAGAGCTCATGGGCTGCAGAGAAGGTTCATACAAAGTTAAAGAGGTGTTCTGAAAGGTTTCTAGAAGGTTCAAAGACATCTTGCAGCTATATCGTGTTCATGGAGGCTGCATCAAAAAGTTATGGCGGCTTATGGAAAGTTGATGTGTCTTATAGCAGCTTTTAGAGAAGGCTTATGGCTTATGGATGGCGAAAGAGGTGGTGTTCCTGTGGCCTGTGGTCTGGGTCCTGCGTCGTAAGCTTCATAGCGGGTGTCTAGAAGATTTACAGGTGCATAAGGTGTTATTGAAACTCCCTTGGCAAAGAAGTGACTGCTATTACCCCTTCTTCATGCAGCCTGGCAGCCCTTCCAAAGCTACCAAGCCCCATCATGTTCATCCACAAGTCGAACCCTTAAGTCCGAATCTTCATCTGCAGTGATCCTTAAGCAAGGGATCATTCCTACAACGCGGATCTCATCCATGAAGCTGGAATCGGCCTGAACCTCACAGGTGCTTAAAGGGGAGTGGTGGAGTGAATACACAGGCTCTTTTGTTATCAGCGGTTCGATTGGGATTATTCCAGGGATCCACTCTCTTAAGGACCAGCAAAGAATCCAAAATCCTATGCGACAGGATGCCGGTTGCCCTTGGCGGATGGTGGGTGTGTGGGCACAAAGTACGGTGTTCAGAGGTTATGAGGAAGAGGGGCAGTGTGAAAGGATGCCGGTTGCCCTCAAGGCCGGCAGGTGCCCACCATGCTTCTTTGTGTTATTCAGACCCTAAAGCCCTAACACCTTAATCCCCCCCCCCAGCTCTCTTCCAGCCTTTGCAGACGACACGAGTCCTGCACTCGGCAAACCCAGCATGGCCATTGACCACACCTTTGGGCTCTGGGTTTTTTGGGTTCTGGGTTTAAGGTTAAGGTAGTATGTGACATTATGGTACCCTACTGTAGTATCTGCCCTTTTGGGCTTCTAATGGTATCTAGTAGGAAATACTAGGTACAAAAAAGCTCCAGGGTTAATACCCTAAACCCTAAACTCTCAACCCTAAACCCCTAAACCCTAAACCCACTTAAGGGCCCATACTGTTGTCTCATGGTTGCAACTTTGGATATGACATTGACATGAAAGAAGGACGAGGTGCCCGCATGGCTTAGCTGTTTGGGTTTAGGGATTGCTTAGGTTTCACCACATCATGCGGGCGGAGGGTTCACTGGACCTCCGGGACTGCATGGAGTGTATCAAATCGGGCTTCCTACAATTCTGGTGGGAGGAGTGTATGGGGTCCCTTTATGAGTGAACGCGTAGAAATTCGTGGAGAAAGTCCTACATTGGCAGACTTTTCAGGTATTGCAGCTGCACCCAAGAAAGTGAACCAGAGCCTGGCATAAACAGCTCGGGCCCGGTGCCTTTTTGCAGCACCATATGGCGGGGTCCACAAATGGGGGCCCAAAGATAAATCCTTGCTATAGGGACTCTTAAACAGAGGCTCCTAATTCTACAGACCTTCATCCCCTAATCCCTATCAATCCGGCATATCTCTCTCTATATATACCCCCATTACCCCCAGCCATATCCCGATGTTCCATGCAAAGCTCTGAAGCTCGAACTTCTTTCCGGCACTGGGGTAGCTCGACCCATACTCCACCTCGAAGAGTTTCTGGGCGCTGCTAATACAGCCTTCTCTATACAGGGATGCCCGGGGGCTTCTACAAGAATTACTGGAGTTTTAAGGGGGAATCTAAAGGGGTCATCTGAGCTAGAGTCTCAACTCCTAGCATCCCCCTCAATACTCCCCATAGTTTTCACTATATAATCTCCTATACAACCTCCGTAAGGAGTGTAGACTATAGCTCATCTGATGAAACTCCCGAATTTACAGTTCCAAATCTCGAAGCCTTCAGCTAATAATCTGAGCATCCATCGAAATAATCTGTTAAAAGAAAACTCTGGCCCTAAAGCCCTACAGTCACCCTTAAGTAGATAGGAGATGGGGTATATGGGGACCTTATTATAACATGCCCAAATCCACATTCTATCTACGTAAGGGGGACTATAAACCCTAAACCCTACCTATATATAATAAACCCTACATTCAGCCCTCTCGACCCGCAGCAGGGCTCCTATTGGGGCCATGGCAAGTGCGGAAATTTCTTCTGCCCGAAAGTCTCCAGGGCTCCTCTTGGCTTACTGCTTAACATGAAGGGTGATTTCAGGTGGAAAGTTACAGTGGGCACCCTTACACAAGGCTTATATACAGCTTTTATGGGGACGATATGACTATATAAGAGCTAGGTAAGGCCTATATGGGGGAAACTGCCCACCTGCAACTTCCTTAGATGGCAGGGAGTAAGACGTCCGTTTGTTTGAATGAAGACTTGGTGGTAGTGTGGAGTGAGATATGGTAGCTTCCAAGTTTCCACAAGTAACTAGCGGACATCCCAATGTAGACCCCAACATACGATAGTCCTTATCATAGGCGCCCCACCCAAAATGGTACCTCTCATTTTAGGACCCCCCCAAGTGGTTTGATGGCAAAGCCCATGGTAAGTGGATGCATGTCCAACCCACTGTCTCAGTCTACCTCACTTCAAACGATCCTAGTCTGCCCGATTAGAACTGAGACACCTTTCACCATTCACTTGCGGTGGGTAGCAGGGAACAAGGGAATATCATCACTGTGCAATGCCTACAAGATATATAATTCTTATTCTCTACTAACGCCCCAGTAAGCTGATAACAGCCATCTTTATCATCATCATCATCATCATCATCATGATCATCATGATCATCATAATCGTCGTGCCCTCGCCCTGCTGACACGCAGCTACTATATTGCACTTATCTCCTCCCCATGTCCCCGAAATTGTAAAGTCCCTTCTTCCGTGGTGCGAGGCAGTTAGTATTAGTGGGCAGGAACTCTTCATCAGTCCGACTAACATGGCTCATATGCTGCTACCGCTGCCTGCTCTACTGCCACTACCACCCCACACCCTGGTACTCAGCAGCGGGGCCGGTAGCAGGACCGATAGCCCTTAACCGACTGAAACTTAGCCCTCTACTCTGAACACTAAGTTATGCGTAGCAGTGGGCACCTACACCCTGAGCCCTGAACATATTATAGTAGTGTCCATTTTCTTTTGAATTATCCCTATATATACCCTACAATAACCCAAATATTACCCCTATGGCCCTATAAGCCCAATATATTTTAGAATTATCCCTCCACATATATATATATACACCTTAAAATAACCCAAATAAAAACCCTATAAGCCCAACATTTTACAATATCAGCGGAAATCTCAGTGACGCGACCGAGCCGCAGGGTGGCGAATCTCGCTGCATCCTCGAAGAGTGGCCGATGGAGGAGGGCCACGGAAGCATACCTCATATCCAGGGATTCTAGGAGGGACCCCTAATGGGGACCCTTAATCCCATTGCCATATATAACCCTTATGTAATCATCATATAGCCACTATATTCCTAGGTAGTTCCCATATGAGCCTCCATAAGCTTCAAGGGTCCGTATTAGGGGTCCCTCCTAAAGTCCTTTGATCATAGGGGTTATATGGGGGTTAGGTTCTATAGGGGTTATATAGGGCAGGATAGTATACCCCTATGATGGAGAATCAAATGGAAAAGAACATGGAAAATGAAATGGAAACTGGGATTATAATGGGTCATATTCAGGTATATATCAAGCCACTGGCGCTGCGCAGGGAATGAAGAAATTGAGTAGGGACTACTACAGAGATCCATTCCTCCGTGCCGTAGTAACCACTGGTGTGTCCATAGCAAAGTTGAAGGTGTGGCCTATGGTTGTCTTGGGGATATTGCACGCCTATTCAACCTTCTTCTGCAATCTGATTCTTGTCATGGGATGCTGCAAGCAAACTTCAGCTGTTCTGAAACTAGGTGCGACCAGCAGATGTTAGCCACTTGCTGCGCGCTGTAGGATCTGCAGCCTGCACAAGTGCCAACCAGCGCTACAATGTCTCGGGATATGGGGAGTTCCCAAAATTACTGTAGGGTCCCTTTTTGGTACCCCTAGATATTAGGTGCCTTAATATGATATACAAGCAGGAGGGCCCAAAATTTTGAGAATAACCCCATATAACCCCTAGCATAACCCTGTAATAACCCTATCCTAACTTGGCATAACCTAAACCCTAACTAGTAGCTTCCATTTCCTTTTCCATTATCCCTTATTATTTCGAGCTTGGTACAGGCGGAACTTTGAGAATTGGGTTCTCATGGCTTTGACTCTCAAGAACCTTACAAGCTAGAAAGCTTTAAAGCACAGCTCCTACAAGTGGATGCTCAAGTTGAGGGTGTAGGGTTTGGTACCTTATACCTCCAGAATTCTGGTGTTATAGTATTCTACTTTAAGGTCAGTAGCAAGAGTAGGACACCATATCTCCTCCCTGGCCCCACCTTTGATCCATGCTAGGTAGCTATGTTGCGGAACACTAGCCACAGGAGTCTACCTAGTTGCGAATTCAGGTTTTTCCCTAAACCTTGAACCCTAAACCCAACCTCTAAACCTTGAACCCCTATATTCCCCCCTTAAGTAGATAGAATATGGGGTATCTTAGTATACTATACCCAAAGCCATATTCTATCTACTTAAGGGGGCCTGTAACCTTGAGCTAAACCTTAAACCCTAAACCTTAAAGCTTGAACCCTACACCCAACCCCTTAACCTTGAAGCCCTAACCTTGAACTGAACCCTAAACCCTACACCCTAAACCCTAAACCCTAAACAATGAAGACCGAGCCTCGTGCCTCTCGACACCACCATCGGCCCAACTTCCTTGTAGAGACTCCTGGGTTGCTGTTACTTAAATGAAGCTGCCATAATGGGTCTGCAGAGTAAATAGTATTAATATTATACCCCTATATATCCCCACATAAACCCTATAAAGCCCTAAACCCTAAATGCTAAATCCTAAACCCCAAACCCGAAACCCTAAACCCTGAGCGACCCAGGGTCCGGTGGGCAACTTTGGAACATCCCAGAGCCCAGCAAAGATTGGAGAGGCCTCGCATAGCAGCTAAAGTTTAGCTGCAGGTTCTAAGAGGGTTTTGGGTTTAAGGTTAAAGGTTTTGGGCTTAGGGTTTGGGGGTTAAGATTTAGGGTTTAAGGTTTAGGGTTTAGGGTTTGGGGTTTAGGGTTCAGGGTTTGGGGTTTAAGGTTTAGGGTTTAGGGTCTAGGGAAATGCAACTTAGGCTGCTCGACTCCAAGCTTCTTCCGGCTCCAGAGAATAGTTGGGTTATTGTCAAGGAACTTAAGTTAAGTTACCAGAATATGCGTATGTAGTAGATGATAGGGTTTCCTTGTTGCAGTAACTTAAGTTAAGTCACCATAACATGGGTATATAGTAGATAATGTCAAGGAACTTAAGCTAACTTACCATTGTTAAGCGTATATAATGGATAATAGGGTCTACCTTGCTGTAGGAACTTAATTTAAGTTCCTTGTGACTCTTGAAGTTAAAGTTGGGATTCAGCCCGAGATGGACAACTCTCAGACAGCGCGACTAATGGAAAGTCCAAGGTGGTGATGTAGCTATATATACAAATCAAATTACATTTGGGTAAGTATAAGGTCATATAGGGTCATAAAGGGATAATGGGAAAGAACATGGAAACCACTATTCAGGGTTTAGGGCTTAGGGACCGCAGGTCAGAGAAGTCAGCACAAAATGTAGGGCACCTTGCATTTGGCCATTTCACCCTAAAACCTACACCTAAAACCCTAAACCTAAAACCCCAAACCCTAAACCTAAAACCCAAAATCCTGAACTCACCCTAAACCCAAAACCCTAAACCCACCTTAAACGTTAAACCCTAAACCCTAAGCCGCGCCTTGTGCGTCGAACTCTTGTATCTTGGGAGTTGCAGCTGCAGCTATGCTCTCCATGTCCTGGGGCTGAAATGCATCCAGACCATATCCAGAAGCTTAGTACCATTTTTAAATATTCCTCATTATTACTATCATCAGGGTTTAGGGTTTAGGGATGCTATCATTAGTACTATTACTATTATTATGTCCAATCCTGCTATTATTTCTATCTTGTTGCTAAAAAGCCGAACCATCAGACCCAGGACTAGCTGGTATTGTCTTTTCTGGGTGGGTTTAGCGCCCCTAGGGTCTGCAAAAAGGTTGGACAAACAAGGCGTATGGTCCCCCTTAAGTAGATACAATATGGCTTCGGGTATACTATCGGGCTTAGGGTTTAGGGTTTAGTGTGAAACCCTAAGTCAGCAGCACA